GCTGATACTTGCCCTCAGGGTAATTATGTGCTGGATCGAGATGACCTGGTGGAGGCCCAAACACCTGAGTATGATGTGGTGCTCTGCCTCAGCCTCACCAAGTGGGTGCATCTGAACTGGGGAGATGAGGGCCTGAAGCGCATGTTTCGCCGGATCTACCGGCACCTACGCCCTGGAGGCATCCTGGTTCTAGAGCCCCAACCCTGGTCGTCGTATGGCAAGAGAAAGACCCTTACGGTGAGTTGGGTGTGGAGGGAATAATCCTTCCTTTGGTTGAGGCAAGAAAAGACCCTGAGGTGGGCATCGCCCTTGGCCAGGGGAGGTGGCAGTGTGTTGAAGTGTGGTCCCTTGCCTCTCTCCTTAGGAAACAATCTACAAGAACTACTACCGAATCCAACTGAAGCCAGAGCAGTTCAGTTCCTACCTGACATCCCCAGACGTGGGCTTCTCCAGCTATGAGCTTGTGGCCACACCCCACAACACCTCTAAAGGTAAGGCTGGTTTATTTTGTCCGGGAGGCTGGTCCTGGCTAAAAGAGTGCAGACCCCCGTGGGGATTCTTGAGGTGCTGCCAACCCCTTCTGATCACTCCCTCTCCCCTCCTCCCCTCAGGCTTCCAGCGTCCTGTGTACCTGTTCCACAAGGCCCGATCCCCCAGCCACTAAGTGGCCCCCTGAACAGAAAGTGTGAAGAGGATGCCCTTGCTGCTCCCAAGGACCTGGGGGAAGAGGAAAGTGTCCCAGGGTCTTTCCTGACTCCAAAAATAGTTTCCTTTCTTGGATCTGCAAAGAAAGCTTTTCTTCCATCGCTGCCTCAGCCTCCTCCCTACGCCTCTGGCACCTGTGCAGCAAGGCTGGCTGTGCTGGAGTCACCATCATCTTCCTCTCCCCCAGCCTCCCAGGCTGGATGGCATGGACTGTTTGCTGACCTCTGTTCTCTTAGGGTATGGGAGGTGGGAGGATATCAAATTCTCTAGCCCTTTCCTCCTATTCTCCCAAGGAGAGAGATTCCCATTTCTCCTCGGCTGTTGTCCCTAGCTCTTGTCCCTAGCTGCATTTCAGTGGACCATGGATAGATGGACTGAGGGTTCGAGGGGGAAGCCTGGCAGGGAGGCACGCAGGTACTGTGAAAATCCTTCCCTCTGTCCTCCCCCAGTGGGAGAGGGGGTTGGGTTTTGAATGTGAGAACAGCACAATAAACTTGATGTCTAGGGCAGTGGCCCCCACACCTGTGTTGGGTACGATCTAGCTGGTGGGGGATGGGTGGTGCCTCCCACCAGAACTTGTGTTGTTTCTCTCTACTGTTTGAAGGAAGACAAGTTTTTCAGTGGTTGGGTTGATTGTTCAACACTAGTCAAGTCCACACGCAAGTATACAGAAGCCTAGTTAGGAAAAGGTGTGTAATGCAAATTTTGGTGTGGAACTTGGAGTCTGCCTTCCCTCCCCAGAAAAACCCTGTACGGGCTTCGGGCAGAAGGCTAACTTTTCAGTTTTTGTTTTTCCGAGATGGAGATTCGTTCTGTCGACAGGCTGGAGAGCAGTGGTGTGATCTCGGCTTACTGCAACCTCCACCTCCCTGGTTCAAGTGATTCTCCTGTCTCAGCCTCCCAAGTAGCTGGGATTACAGGCACGCGCCACCATGCCCAGCTAATTTTTTGTATTTTTAGTAGACACAGGGTTTCACCATGTTGACTAGTCTGGTCTCAAAACTCCTGACCTCAGGTGATCCACCCACCTCAGCCTCCCAAAGTGCTAGGATTATAGGCGCCAGCCACTGCACCCAGCCAGAAGGCTAACTTGTAAAGAGTTGGCGGTGGAGGCAGGCAAAAGTGCTTTGGATCAAATGCTCAGGGACAGACCAGCACCTTTTTTGTGCTGTGGAATGAGACTTACAGGCAATTAACAACATGAAGCTCTTCGGGGGCTTGTTAGGTGTTACTGGAACTTCGAACATACTAAGTATTCAGGTCAGGTGTAAACAGGATGGGCAAGGCTCTTCAAGGTAAAAAGCAAGGAGATAATTTCATTAACTCAGTGCAAACAGATGGCTTGCAAGCTCCTTGAGACAGGTAATCAGGGAAGGCCTCCGTGAAGTGTGATAGGCTGGGCCCTGCATTTTGGGAGACCAGAATAAGTGATGAGGCCGGGCGCGGTGGCTCATGCCTGTAATCCCAACACTTTGGGAGGCTGAGGCAGGTGGATCACCTGAGGTCACGAGTTCAAGACCAGCCTGACCAACATGGAGAAACCCCCGTCTCTACTAAAAATACAAAATTAGAGGCGGGCGGATCACCTGAGGTCGCGAGTACCAGACCAGCCTGACCAACATGGAGAAACCCCGTCTCTTACTAAAAATAGAAAATTAGCTGGGCATGGTGGCCCATGCCTATAATCCTGGCTACTAGGGAGGCTGAGGCAGGAGAATTGCTTGAACCTGAGACGCGGAGGTTGCGGTGAGCCAAGATCGTGCCATCCATTGCACTCCAGCCTGGGCAACAAGAGTGAAACTCCGCCTCAAAAAAAAAAAAAATAAGTGATGAAGAGAACAATCGCTGGGTGATCAAAAACAGGCAGTAGCTGTGGCTGGAGTCAGAGAGAGGCAGGTAAGGCTGCGAACGGAGGAAGTATCTAAGTAAACCTCTAATGTGGACGGTGTTTTCCACTTGCCATGACTCTCCCAAGTTCCAAAAAGGCCTCCAAACTCGACTTCCAGGCAGCTTCCAACCTGAGGCTAAGTGGATAACCCCCAGAGAGCTTTTAACCCCATTTTAGGCCTCCAAGAAGAGTCCCATTTATTAGCAAAATTAGTTTATTCTAACAAATAGTTTAACAGAAAAATACGAACTAGCCCTCCAGGAATCTTTGGGGTCTACTAGGCTTCCCATCGCCTCAGTGTCCGGTGCATGAGGAAGGTGTCCTCTGAAGGGCGGGGCCGGAGTTGAAGCCGGAGAGGGGACAGACCGTCCAGGGTCAGGTGTGGAGATTCATAAAATAGTGTTTCTGGGTCACACAAGATGGTCATGTCTGGCCCCGGCCCAGGTGGCGCCTGCTGGGAGGTGGGGCCCAAAGCAAGGTTACACTCTAGGAAGAAGAATCCGGGTAAGGGGGTACATGGAGGAAGCCCCACGCCCAGACCCCATCACCTTTGGGGGCGGGGCTCGAGCCTGTGGCGGCAGGAGAGCCAATTTCTCCCTGAGCGCAGCGTTCAGAACCTGTTCCTCCGGCACCTGCAGGCTCACCAGGTCCCGGAAGAGCCGCTTGGAGCGCGGCACGTTCAGCCCTGAGAGCGCAGCGGGGGCGGAGGTGAGTGGCGCCCCTCGCT